ATCTGAACCAGTAACCCTACGTTTTCCAACACTATCCTTACACAATGGTGTTATGGAATTGCTTCCACTTTTGGGGAGATTTTGGACTTTACCCATGAAAATTACACACTTTTTCTCCTCTGAGCTGATCTCCCTCAATAATACTAAAAGAGATTTTTTTTTTTATAGGAAACAATAACTTTCATTAATGCATAACCTTGATGGTGATAACCTCAGCAAGTGCTTCCTTGGATTTTTCTTGCCCAAGGAAGATCCTATTGTTTCTCTCCTCCCAAATTGACCAAAGGATGGCTGTTCTTGTTATTCTCTACATATTACCCTGCCTCTTTTCCTTGGTTGTCGGAAGGGTGATTATAATTTTGGATTGTATGGAATGAGACAAATGCAAGAATTTCCAAACAAAAGCACAAACAAATGTTTTCCAAACAAAATGCAATAATACCAAAAGCTTATTGAAATGCTGTATTGAGCAAATAAAACCAGAATCTTATGTCTGTGTTATGGAGAAACCACACAACCTAAGGCAAATACAAACATTAATTCAATGAATATTATCCCAAAGAACAAAATCTCAAATATCATGAGATGTAAAACTTTTCATGTTCAACCTTGATTCTTGATTAATGTATCCATGAGGATAATGGAAATACAACTGACCTTCTTGGACCGCATTCCACAAAAACCACTGCGATTCATTCTCCACTTGGAACCCTCAGTTACATCCAAAGAAAGGTTGCCAGAGAAGACACCTTTCAAAAATGTTATAACAGTGTGGAGAGTAAGTTAACAAGAGGATGACCTTCCAACAGTTTCCAGTATAACTACACATATTGGTAGAGATTTGACTACTAGTCCATATATAACTATTAGCTTTAGCATAGTATCATGGTAGGATGAATGGGGGCATAGATGAATTGTTTCTCAATCATAGAAATCAACAACAACGCATCAGTACTTACTATACTATACACCTCTATTTTGTTGTTAACAGAAAAAAAAATGATCATAAGACAGGTTTTGATGTGGTTTTCTTGATATTGAAAACAGAACTAAAGTAAGCAACTTTGGCATTCACCCATATATATCCCTAACAATAACTAATATATACCTATGGAAGAGGAAAAACTCACCATTGTAGCAATTATATAACAGCTTAATAAAACCTTAATTTCTGAGCATTTTACATTTTTACTTATATAATTCACATTTTTACATGTGTATCATGTACTGATCTTCCATAATTCCATTTGATTGTGCTGATGTAAAGACTGATATTTAATGATTTAAATACATAAAAAAAAACAAGGATGAATTCCTTGGCCTTCCCTATCAGCTTATGCTTCTATTTCATCAGTGGGGCTTTGACAATCTTAACCTGTTTTTATTTACCCTCATGACTTCTAAGCTATGAAGATCTTTTGTCATGTATTGAGGGTTAAATTTCTTTTATAGTTTTTTTTTTCAATGGCAAGTAATCCATCTTGTTCACAAAGAAATAAAATCCTACTAACATGCTTGAGAACTCTAGTTGATGTTGTTTCCAATGAGTTTCACGTGGTTTTACTTGTCCTAGAAATTGTTTGTATTCCTTGTTATAAGCCACATGTTTTCCATTTATTTGATAAGATTATAACAATTATGCTGTTGAAAGAAAAATAATTTCTAATAGGGGGATACATCATAAATTGTGAAAAAACACATTATAACCAGCATGTTAAAAGCAAGAAACACAACTAAAGCGCAAGCGGTTCTTAGAGAATGAGAAACAATATGAAAGGTGAGATGTATGCCAGAAATAAATGAAATCAGACCTATAAAAACAAGTTAAAAGAAAAATTAATATATAACAATATGCAAATCAAAATTCCTAAAAAAATAAATCCTGTTAGCTCAATTGCTTAGAGCTTGTGGTATTAACAAGAAAGTTGAGTTTTGTGGGTTCAAGTCTAACATGGCCAACCTCTTTAAAAATCATAATGGCAACCTACAATATAGTAAATTACCTATTCAAACCTCAAATTCAAAGTAAGTTGATCATAACATAGCATGGGCAAAGTGAGGTGCACCTAGGTTCAGGTGAAGTGCACCCCACAAAATAAACCTTGCTTGTGAGCCTAGGCATGCCGTTCACGTTGCATTTGTATGTAATCAATGACATGCTTGTACCATGTGGCATTTGAAGGTATCTAGTGACACATATGACAACACATGGGGGCACATGCATATGCCACATGGCATGCACACATTACAACATCTTGTTGTATCCAAACGGCATTATTTACTTTTACTTTGAAAATCATGTTTTTGAAAAATTTTCGTCCAAACAATTTTGAAGTAAAAATACAAAAGTAGAAATATTACAGGTACATTGTAATTTGGTACTATTGAAGATATAAAGTACGAAGTACCACCAAACAGGGCCTAAATTAGTTGATGTATTGGACAGATAGGGGTAAACAGAAGTCAATTGTACTGAGAGGTAACCCCCCAGGGAGAGAAGATGTAAATTGTAAGAAAAGTTTGGAATCAAGTGGTTATGTCGCCAGCCCTTGTCTAATTTTAAAAAGGTGATTGGCACAATTTAGGGGTCGAATATATAATGGTAACATGTTAGGCTGACAAGTGTAAGCATGTTGGTTAAAGTCATAGAGATGCGACTTTGTGCAAAAAAAAAAAAAGCCAAAGGTCAGGTCCACATCCAGTCCACCCCTCTCAACACCCTAGATAGCTGGGACCAACATTGAGTTGTGGCCTTTACAGTGGTACAATTTGTTTGTTATTCTGTGTCATTAATAATATTTCAGTTACAAATCCAAAAAAATGTTGATATTAAACAAGAATGTTTTCTTTCATTCATGAAATTAAGTTCCACAATCATGTCTACGGTGTATGCGTATAGCAACAACATTGCATTTTGGATTTCCTGGAAACTTGCAAGTACTGTAAAACTGCAACTCCTGTAATCTTCATTGATTACAGAAAAAAAAAAAAACCATGGCCACTTTATTTTCTTTGGCTCTTTATACTTGGTGTGTTTGATGTTTTCTGCTCACAGTGTAGTAACATGATATGATAGTGGCAAGCATGACCATGATGTAGTTAAAAGATCTGCAATTTCACATAAAATAGGTAATAGTGACTTCCTTCTTGCTGCTGCTAATCCACCATCTCCCAGGTCAAGCAGTCATTATTTACAATGAACCAGATGCCTAAGTTGCATGACATATTCCTTTGTGATTTATGAAATCTGTATAATAATATTATAGCATGATAATGGAGTTGGGTAGTCAACTTTACCACTTAATCCACTGCCAGCATCTTTTATCTCCAATGACGCAGAGGACAAACCTGAGAAAGAACCAAGGTAATGGCAAAATTATCAAGAATTCTTTACCCAAAGAACTCTAGAAACACACATGAGCAGAAAGAATACAGTAAACTCAAGATGGTAATATGAGGTGATCATAAGCATACATGGATGCTCAGAGAATAGATCGGATGCTGGTGTATCAAGGTGGGCAATTTCGGCAACCCCGAATGCAATGCACAATATTCTTCCTCAAATCCTCAGTTATATCAGGTAAGATGTGTGTGATGGCAACTCTGTCCTCTTTTGGGAGGACATTTAGGTTGGAGATGTCCCTTTGAAAACCCTTTTCCCCTCCTTGTTCTCTGTTTTTCAGTACAAAAAAGTTTTTCGAAATTTTGCTTCTCATTGGAAACCCCTTGGGCTCCTACTTGGGTTTTTGGGTTCTGTAAGAGGCTTAAGGGATGAGGAGATTGGGTGCTTAGTCAGTTTACTCTGCCTTCTTGAGAAAGTTTGTTTGAACCCCTCTGAACCTGACAAAAGAATTTGGACACCTCGATCAAAAGGATTCTTCTCTTGTGCTTCTTTTTTCAACTCCCTTTTCTGTTCCAACCCTCAGCAAGGCTTCCCTGTTAAGGAAGTTTGGTGCAAACCTGTTCCCCCTAAGATTTTGGAATTTTGCTGGGAAGTGTACTATGGGAAAGTAAATACCTTGGACAATCTACAAAAGAGAAGACCTTTTCTCTGTATTTCCCCCAACTGGTGCATCCTTTGCAAATCTCAGAATGAGGACTGTTATCATTTGCTAAGTTCTTCTTCCTTTACTGCAGAGTTATGGGATTAACTTCTCTCTTTGTTTGGGAGCAGTTGGAACTTTCCAGTAGATTTAAGATTGCTTTTTGATCCCTCTACTTTTGTTTGGCAGCAAAAAAGGGGTAAAATCATGTGGAGGTGTGCAAGAGCTGCATTGATATAGACAATTTGGAAAGAAAGGAATGCTAGAACGTTTTTGGAGAAGGAAACGAACCTTCAAGAGATTAAGGACTGTGTCTTGGTTAGGGTGATTCATTGGCTGGAATCTTTGGACTTGTTCCACCAATTCTCCTTTAATGACATTTGGAGGAAATTGGGCAGCAGTGGCAAGTTGTTCCTCTTCCAAGACTAAAGTCAGAACAAGCTCCTGCAGTCTTCTTGAAGTTGAATTTTGACGGAAGCAGTCTAGGAAACCCAGGCCCTTTTGGGTTAGGTGGGGTATTGAGGAATGAAGTCGGGAATGTGATACTTATCTTCTCAGGTCCTTCAGGAGTGGGAGACTCTACTAGAGCAGAATTGTTTGCTGCCCTGCAAGGTGTACAGTTTGCAGCTCAATTAGGGGTGGAATGGCTAATAGTTGAAGGTGATTCAAAGGTTGTAATAAGCTGGTTGCAGGACCCAGAGTCAATAGTTTGGTGCTTCGGGAATGAAATTAAAAAGTTTAAGGTGCTGACAAGAAACATGGACCTAAGAATACAATGGGTGGGGAGATCAGCAACTGCTATTGCGGACTGTCTAGCTGAGCAAGGGGCAGCTAGGGAAGTTTTGTATTGGGTACAACTGTAACTTATTGCTTTTGTTTTCTTCTTTAGTGGAGAGATCGCAGCTCACGCCTCTCCAAGGGCTGCTTGTATGTGCTAATATGCACTTGTACATGCTCAGAGGGCTTCTCGCCCAAGGTTCAAAGTATCGATACGTATCGGCCTGTATCGGCCGATAAGTATCGTGCCGATGGCTTACTGATACGCCCCTCCAGGGGTTGTATCGGGTCAGCCACCGGTTTAGAGGGTATCCGGGCCTTAAACTGACCCCTCTGAACCGGTTTAGAAAAAAATACATAAAACATAAAAAAAATGTACCGACACAGGCTGATACACCCTACCGGTGTATCGGCCCATGTCGATATTTAGAACCCTGTTCTCGCCCTCCTTTTCTTACTTATTGATACATCTTCTTATCATTTATCAAAAAAAAAAAAAACCTTTGGCATATGGAAAACAAATAATTGACTAGTATGTCTTTAGAAGAAGTTTTCCTGGATGTGTCTAAATAGGATTGTTGAATTTATATAACCAACTCCTTAGAGTCTTTCACATGTTCATATTTCTTTCAAGCTCTTGCTTCCATCCCTATCCTATAATAGCCTTTTCTAGTTAAAAAAATTTGAAGCAGACAGATGCCTCCTAAAAATTAGGGCATTTTGTTGAGAGATGCTCCATGAGAAAATTAACTCTATACAAAAAAGACCAAATTTGTCTTTATCTCCACATATGTGCTTTCTTTATAATGCAAGTTGCAGCTAATCTCTTGTTTGTAAGTATGTGCCTATGTGGAAATGGTTTTTCTCTCTATTTGGTTGCAGATGAACTCCTCCAATAGATATAGTAAGTTTGTTCAATTTGGCATTTTTCACCTTGCCTAGAAGGAGAGATAAGATCCTGTGGCAGTAAACAAGAGCAGCAGTTGTTTGGACAATTTGGGAAGAAAGAAAAACAAGAATTTTCAATGAGAAGGCACATAGCAAGGAAGCTATCATTGAAAGTAATGCAATGAAAGTTATGCATTGAGTAAAGAGTTTGGATATATTTCATCATCATCATCTATGCCTTATCCCAACCATATGAAGTCGGCTACAAGACTCCTGTTTCGTCAATCCATTCTATTTAATGCCATATCCACTGTTAAAATATTAATGCTTAAATAATTTCCTACTACTTCTATCCATGTCCTTTTTGGTCTACCCCAAACTCTTCTAGCCCCTTCAGTACCAAACTACTTGTTCTAAATGGTGCAGTTGGTGGTGTCCAAACCATCTTAGTCTACTCTCTCTCTCATTTTATCACCTATTAGAGCTACTCCTAGGTTCCTATGGATAACTTCACTCCTAGTCCTATCCTTTCTAGTTTTTCTACTCATCCATCTTAGCATTTGCAGAGACTTTGGACATGTTTGCTGATAAAAAAAGACTTCGGATATATTTTCCCTGTTCTCTATTGATGATATCTTTAGAAAGTGACATTGAGTTGTTTCTTTATCGATTGCAAGGAATGTGATTCAAATACACTACAACCCACTAAGTGTTGAACATATAAAATTGAACTCTAAGGGAGGGATGTTGCATCTGAAACAGATCTAGAGGACCTTCAGGTATAGGTAGAGTGTTTCGTGCATAAACATGGCACCATATTAGCAATTCATTTGGGCCCAGTTGGCTATGGAGATTCTATATGAGCTGAAATGCTAGCAATGCTACAAGGTCTGAGAGTAGGCAGATTACTGGATTTTAAAAATGAAGTGGTGGAAGGTTATCTGATGTCTCAAAGGTGGTTGTGGGCTGGCTGCTCCAGCTGGCCCAGTTGATATTGCCAAAGTAAAAAATTTACAATACCTAAACACCATGAGGAAGATAAGATATTTAGCACAGGAATTAGATGCCACTTTGTTGGGTTCAAAGATTAGAAAACAGTTTTACCAACGCATTGAACAAACAAGGGATGAAAAGGGACCAGTTGTTTGGGTTCAATTTAAGTGAGTAATTAATTGGGATAGGTGGATGTTTGCAGCCTATTCTTTCAGATACTGATCTTCTTGTACATATTCCATTTTTTCATGATCTAATAAAGTTTAATAATTACCTTTTAATAAATAACTAAATGGCCAGTATGGCTTAATTTCAAAGTAGAAAAGCTTATATATCAACCTTCAACTCTATCCACCTCAAGGTTTTGAACTTGGAGTCTTGGACAGAATTTTCAGAATAATTCAGTTCCAATTCACAAGCAATTTTGTCAGTTCCGATATTTTCATAATCAACTCATCCTATTCAAAATTTCCAGCAGTTTGCAAAAATTTCTAGAAAAATCACTTTATCCTGTTATGATTGTCAACAAGACTAAGATTGATGTGAAAACGAAATTTAAAATTTGCTCCCCTTAAACCTGAAAAGATTCATATACATATTTTATTGAAAAATTAGAATGAAATAGAAGGATGGCAGTTGAGGCAGGGGAGACAAAAACATAACTTTATTGACAAGAAAATTTTCTATAACATGTTATTGTGGGAAGTCTGGAATAGAGTTCAGAATGTGTGGTCAGATCATATTCATGCATTATATAGAGAAAAGATATATGATGATGCAATCATGCAGTTGGTACTTGGTAAAGAGCTGGATCCTCAGAATCTGTGGCTTGGTCAATTCTTGTTTGAGAATTTGGGCATACAAAGACACAAAATTGTGGGAGGTTTTCTCCTACATTAATTGTTTTTCTTGTTGCTGATTTCAAAAATAAGGGTACGCACACCTGGTTTGAAAAAACATTGCTTCTTAAATTAAAAAAGACAAAAACATCTTCTTTGTTGTGTAGAGATTTCTTGTTTTCAAAACTGAAAGTATGAAACCAGAAATGCATTCTTGAATTTCTGGTTTCAAAAACATGTTTTCCCCTAGTGGTTTGATATTATATCTTATAAAGCATATAATATTCACATAGAGATTCTGATTGAATGGGTGTTATTTTTTATACTTTGGAGCAGTGTTGCATGGACATGGCCACAAGAATGAGAATCTGACACACCTCCAGGAATCTAACTCGGCAAGATTATGTCTATGGAAAAGTATTGTTGAAAGCTGTTATTTTCCTAAGTATAGTACCACAGGGGTACTATTGTACTTTTACCTTTTTATTTTTTTAGTTGCTCTCACCCTAGTATATAACAAATAACCGGCACCGCCAGCATGCTTTTGACTCTCAAATCTTTCTCCTCTCTTATGACTCTCAAAAGGAGAGATCGCCCAGACTTCCAGATTTGCCGCCACCATCTACAGTTCGAGTGATTGAAGATCACCATCATCTACAGTTCTCACGCCTGAAGTAATCTCTATTCTTCCCTCTTTTTTTTCTGGCCGTGCGCCAGGGAAGAACCTGTATTAGGTCTACTGATTGAATGTGAGCTGACCAGCACCTATGTATTTCCTTTTTTGTGGGGTCGACTGACCCCTGGAAAA